AAATTGAGGGTGTTGCTGGACTTTAATTGCTGAGGAAGAGAACCCCATAATTGGTATGCTAGGAATACAGGCAATTTGCTCGTGGAATTATTTCTTGCAATCGGGAAACGAAGTGAGTTCCGGCTTGTTGAGGATTCATTGAACCAGTTTAAGGAATGCTGCACATGCTGAGGGGCAGTGATAAGTTTGATTTTGTGAATGTATACGCAGGAGGATCGGTCAATGTAATGTTTCAGAGGAAATGTACAGCAATTTTTATAGAGAACGGCTATGTTGGTCTCGGGCGGCAAACGAAGTATTGCCCGGAGAATCTGTCGATGCACAATCTCCAGCTTTGCAAAGAGGCCATTACCAGCGCCACACCACACCACACAGCAATACAAGAAAATAGGCAAAACGTATGTATGATAAAAGAAAGGTCTTTCGGCATTCTGGTGAAATGTAGGGGAGATGGCCATAAAGAATACCGACGACTGAGCTTGCCCGCTTTTCCAGATTCTGGAAATGGTGGGACCAGTCCAATTTGCTATCAAGTGTAACGCTAAGGTGCTTGTGACGAGAGGTTATAGGTATCGGGTAGGATCATCGGGGAAATGGAAAATAAAAGTTTGAAGATGTGCAACATCTGATGACGCGTTGGGGACGACACACATGATCTCGGTCTTGGCGGAGTTCGGCCGGAGTTTCCACCTTCGCATCCACTTGACCACACAGTCTATTTCTACCTGCAGGTCTTGACCCGCGACGGGGAGCGACCGGTGACTAGCCAGCAGAGTGGTGTCGTCCGCATATAGCGAGGTGTTGGGAATTGCACCGATATCATTCACATACATTAGAAAAAGCAGGGGCCCTAGAATTGATCCCTGGGAACACCAGAACACACGCGTTCAGGGTGGGACAATTGACCCGAGATATTTACTTGCTGTGAGCGACCACACAGGTAACTCTCCAGCCACCGCAGTATGCGTCCTTGGATCGAGAATGACGCTATCTTAGCCTTCAGCCCACGGTGCCACACAGTATCAAAGGCTTTAGATAAATCGAAGAAGAAGACTAGGCTGTACTCGCTCTGATGGCGATTGTCTTGCAGGGATTGAACAACTCGAAGTAGCTGCCAGGCTGTTGAATCACCTCGACGGAATCCGGACTGTGATTGATGGAGATATGGATCTACATGTGCATATAACTTGTCATACATTATTCGCTCACACAGCTTTGATATCGTTGAGAGAAGGGATATGGGACGATAGTTCTTCGGATCCGTTCTTGCGCCTTCGTTTTGGTACAGCGGGATGACGACAGCAGCTTTCCAGGCAGTTGGAAAAATACCGGTGGAGAAAGACAGATTGAATAGCAGACTCAAAGGAAGCGATATCGACGGGCCAATCAATTTCAGCAGCTCGTGTGTAACTCCATCAGGTCCCGCAGCTTTCCAGAGCTTTAGACGCTTGATGCATTTATGCACGGCATAGGGCGTGGTGAAGATAGAGAAGAGCAACTCCACCATACGCCAAAAGTTCGGACCTTTTTGTTTTGTTTTCGGTTGTAGGTCTGTCTCTTCGATAACAGTTGTATCCTGGGATAGAGAAAATTTGAGCTCCGTGCTGCCATGTCTCAGTAATAGAAACGAACAGCGGGTCCCACGTCGAGCAGAAGTCAGTTAATTCCGCGACTTTGTTCCGTATTGATCTAGCGTTAAAGCAGACAAATGGGTGACTGGTAGCCGGTAATGGCAGGGGCTGGAATGTTTTCGCTTCGGGATTTAGCAATCTACTCTGGAATAGATCAGCATTTGCGTGTGAAGTTGTGTGCGTGGTTGTCGGTGCAGGACGGAAAGGTGGAGCCAATGGGTTGAGTGTTAAACTCATTCTCATTTGCTAGCGGAGTCGGCATAGGGCCATTTGCGGACAGTGTGCGCAATGGTGTCGGGCCAGAATTCCTTGTCAAGCAGGGTTTGCTCAAACTCTTCCGCAACAGAAACGCGTGCATAGCAGGTACCAAAGTATTGGGTTTCGGCAATTGTGCAAAGAGTGTAAAGAGAGCATGCCTGAAAATACCTAAGTATGTGTGCAAGTGGATCTCTCCGATTTCTCTCCATATTTGCAGGTAAGTCCCTTTCGGGTGTAGATCGATTTTGCAAAGCCGCTGAAAAAATTTCTGAAGGGAACCTTGAAACTTGCATACCCTTCAAAATGGCCGACTTATCACTTTGTTTATGGGTTTAGAAACTTGTCACGCCATAGCGTAAAAAGCAACGAACAAAACTCCATCAAGTCAACATTGCCACACCTTAGAAAAGTTCATGGAGCAGGACCGCTTATCCATGCCAGGATCCCAGAAGACGAGGTCCATAACTCCCTGACGCTACAAATGATCGTCTTGAAAATTGCCAATTTATCCCTTTGTGTACGGACTGTACAACTTTCGATCCCCTGGGATCGAAACTTTTCAAATTTTCAATCGATCTTAACTCAGTCATTTCTGGGTTATTTCCAAAACCTAAATTATGTAGGTCGAGAAGAAACCTCCCAGCTGTCCATCGAAACAATCGCAAAAACACTCCGATGTGCGGTTCCAGAGTTACGAAGCTCGAAAGTCAAATCGCGGCAATTGTCGCTCAATAGCCGCGTGCGCAGATTTGAATAAGGGATTTTCCCATCTTTCTGGGCATCCAGTGACATAGAAACACATTCAAATTGGCAAGCGGACTCGTGGCAGAAGCCCTGCCAAAACAGCCTGCAACGTCCTCAATTGGCAAGAAGTATACACCGGCAGATAGTAGAACACCTCTTCTAGCGCTGTGGACATGTCCCCCATCTTCCTTTTGAGTTTTGAGGTTAATAACCTTGAAACGAGAGAGCTTGGAAGCTCAGGGCCCTACGCTATGCTTTTTTACCTGGCTCATCATACGTGTTATTAGAACTGATGGAAGTGTTTTTCCCATTGATTGGCTACATCATTGTATTGCAAAAACGTTTCAATCAGTTTGAATATGAGTTAGGCAAAAGCAATTGCAGAATTTAATGGGGATTGCTAATTTCTTCCACTTCATCCACTTTTGGTTTACTGCTTCTTTTAATTTGGATCTCCTTATAATCGCATTTGCGCTTGTTACTCGCCTTAAACGCCCGTTGCCGTTGGTCTGGAAGTGATCACACTCGTGTTGTTACTTCCCTCAAGAACACGCTGACTGTATTGTAGGCCAACGAACCGGGACTTTCACTGACCATGTAGATCGAAGACCAGTGAAATGATGATGAAATCACGTTCTTTATGACGTCAGAAATCTCTCATGCAGTTCACGCGACAAGTGCGTGCAGTCAGTGCTGCTCGGCGAGTGCTCGCTTGCCAGTCAACACAAAGCGAGGGAGCTAGCAGCTTTTGTCGAGCATCGACATGAAACCAAGGGACTTTTACCGTTGGACTATGTTCGAGATTACAGGAGTTAAGTGTGAAATATGCATAACTCTCTCTGCTGTCGGGGGGGGGGGGGCATTTTTCAACGGCTTGCTGCCATTGCAACACTCCTAGGGCAGTTTGTGGGGGGTTCTCAGCAGATCAAGCAGGAAATGCAGCTCGTCTTATCTCAGCCATCACAGTCTGTTCTGAGTAGCGTCCCAGGCACGATCGCGATCGATGGCCGCGTGTCGTGATCCATGATCCAAGAAGTGTCATCCTACGTCACAGAGCACGCGATCTTACCGTGCATCTTGCAATAAAATTCAAAAACTGCGCCCAGGACTTCAGTTACTTTTGCATCAACGGCGCACCAAAAATTGTTGGTGGCGCAAGGAGAAGCTTGTCGTTTGGAGTCACAAGTGATCCCCCGCTGCTTTTCCTTGTCCGAGTCAACAATACACTTTGTTCTGTGTTGTTGGGAGTAGTGTTGGAGTAGAATTTGCTGAGGAGATGTCGCGGAGGGGCTAGCTTTCCTGCGCAAGTATGATTCTGGCCATATTTCAGCATGGTCGAGTGAAAAATTCAAAAAGGTTTATTTCAAGAAAACCCCAACAGGAAGATGGGGGACATGTCCTCAGCGCTAGAAGAGGTGTTCTACTATCTGCCGGTGTATAGTTCTTGCCAATTGAAGAAGTAGCTGGCTGGTTTGACAGCACTTGTAGATTGGCTATTTTTAAGACGGTCCTCAGCGCTAGAAGAGGTGTTCTACTATCTGTTGGCTTGATGGAGCTTGACTCGTTTCTTGATCCATAAATAATGTGGTATTTCGGCCATTTTTGAGGGGTGTGCAAGTTTCAAGGTTCCTTTCAGAAACTTTTTCAAGGGCTTTGCACCATCAATCCACACCCCAAAGGGAACCTACCTGCAATTTGTTGAGCGAAATTGGAGAGATCCACTTGCACACATACTTTGGTATTCTCAGACATGCTCTCTTAAAGAATTTCAGCACTATTTGAACCTGCAACCACAATATTCCAAAGCACCTACCTTGACCACTCAGCCACAGGGGTTGTGATGCTGAAGTTCGTTGAAAGATGTGTCTTAGGTCTGGATCACCCAATGCTGCCTACACATAATACTAAACTATAGTATACTGGCATACTAACTAGCTATTTTCGGACCAGTATTTCAGGCCAAAAACGAATGTATGGTGTAGTTTTAAACAGAATTAACACCCCTGCATTGTTTTAATGATATGCTGTTTATAAAAAACTGCAGTTTCACTTTGTTTTTTAAGCAGTGTTTATATTCCCATCAACGCTACGACATTACTGTTTATCATACACAAGGCAGAACAACAGAGACCAAAAATTTTTCTCCTTACTCCAAGTTTCGTGTTGAAAAACACTCATCGTCTGTTGTTCTGCCTTCTGTAGTACGCCCTGCCCTTTTTGAGGTCATGATTGAGCACTATTTGCAGCAAGGACTTCAGACACTTTGTCCCTGTTTATTCTATACATATTGTGCGTGAATAAATATAGAGCTCACAGCAACTAGAGCAGAAAATGCAGATGCAGAAGGATCTTCAATCGTGTACTTACCCTGGCAAGTTGGCGGTGAAGTTGACCAATTTCCACTTGGAAGACACACAGACGCGCTGCTGCCAGCTAAATTGTACCCCGAATTGCACGTAAAAATGGTTGCACCATTTCTCTCCATAGACATACTGGCAATAGCTCCATTCAGAGGAGCAACTTGACTGCTACACAGCACACCTACGAAAATACACAGGAAACAGCAAATATGCCTAACATCAGATATTGTCAGAAGATCATGGTATAAATTTTCTTAGAGCCGAAATCTACAAGCCTGGACTATGTGAGCTGTCAGAGTTTGATTGCACCTTCTGTTATGAAATTAGTCATTCAAATTTGCAATTTCCAGTCTGCGGTGCGATTGCCTCAGTTGATCTCAGCTTTGATACAACCTAGGTGTGAAAAATCACTACTTGTTTCGTGTACAGTGTGGGGCCTGTATTTGCAGTAAAAATCTAAAGTTTGATCAAAAATTACATTTGATACTACTGAAGGTGGGGTCGACAAGTGCTCGAGATTGACATACTGTGAAATTAAAGTCAGCGCACTCATACCACTAGAACAATGGAACAATAATTATAATATGACTTAAACGTCGTTTCCACGTGATAATCTTCAGAAATAGGCACCACGCTAAGAGTGGGACAATCAAGGAAAGATATTTATGGTACCATAAAGGAATGTGAAACCAAGTGTAGATTGGAGAAATGCAGGTGAGAAAGGTACATGTGAATCGCGATCTATAAGGCTTGGCATTCTTGTGTCGCGAGGCACGTGATTTCATCGTTCCTTTTGCCCTAAAATTCAAAAACTACAAGAAAATCTTCAGTCAATTTTGCATCAACTGTTGCACAGAAAGGTTTGGTGGCGCAAGGAGAAGCTTGTCGTTTGGAGTGACAAATAATCAGCGCTGTTTTTCCTTATCAGAGTCACCAAAACACTTTATTCTGCAGCGTTAGGAGTAGTGTTGGAGTAGAAATTGCTGACTAGATGTCGCGAAGGGGCAAGCTTTCCTGTGCAGGTATGACTTTGGCCGTACTTCAGCACGGTCGAGTGGAAAAATTCAAAATTGTTTTTTTCAAGAAAACCCAAAAAGGTAGATGGGGACATGTGCTCAGTGTTAGAAGAGTTGTTCTACTATCTGCTGGTGTTTAGTGTTTGCTAATTGAGGACGTAGCTTGCTGTTTCATCAGCGCTTGTAATTTGGCTATTTTCAAGACGACCATTATGGCATCAGGAGATGACGACCCTCGTCTTCTGGGGGGGGGGGGGGGGGGAGTTGTTCTACTATCTGCTGGTGTATAGTGTTTGCTAATTGAGGACGTAGCTCGCTGTTTCATCAGCGCTTGTAATTTGGCTATTTTCAAGACGACCATTATGGCATCAGGAGATGACGACCCTCGTCTTCTGGGATGCTGGCGTGGCTAAGCTTTTTGTAGCATGTTCTGGTACGCTGAGGCATGTCTCGTTTCTAGTCTCGTATACGCTTAACTTCGCTTATAACGACACTCTGCGGGGCATCAGAAAAAGTGTCCTTATTCGCGAAGTGTCGTTATATCCGAAGTCTCATTATATGTGTCACAATTGGATGGGACTTTGCTCTGGGCTTGAAAATTATGTCGTTATCCGCAAATTTTCATTATATCCGCAGTCGTTATTAGCGAAGTTGACTGTATCATGTGAATTTTCCACTATTTTTGAGGGTATGTCAATTTCAAGGTTCCCTTCAGATACTTTCCGCGGGCTTTGCGTGGTCGATCTACAACCCAAGCGAAACTTACCTGCAAAATGTGAGTGAAATGGGAGAGATTGCACAAATGTTCTTGTTTTCTCAGACGTGCTCTGTTAAACCGTAAAATATTGTGCTCATGGTATGAGAAGTCCCATTGAATGCCTCGAAAATCGCAAAACATCGCCGGACAGAAAGTAAGAAAAAGGTTCAGATCAAAATAGCGCGATCATCGTCACTCAATCATTTGTTGAGCTAACGCCACACCGGAACCACCTTTGCAAAGCCATTTTCAAGACTATTCCAATACGGTATTGATCATGGTAATACGACATTTCGTTCCCGAGTTATGGCTGTTTGTACAGTGATCTTTCCAGTGGGTACGGTATGTGCACTGTACGAAACGTATAGCGCTAATATGTCGTTGCCCAGACGCGATGAGGTCTGCATGACGACTGCACTCACCATAAACCCGGAAAGGACTGCCAAACTGTGAATCTTTGATATGTGAACATGCTCAGCACTTACTATCACCTAGAAAAAGGTAAGATATGCATTAGACATGTTCATTGTTGGACTTCAATAGTCAATTTTCTCTATTCCTACTTTAGTTACAGATCTGACTTCAGCACCACTCAACTATTCAAACAACCTGGACAAAAATGAAAACAAGGTTATCACATAGTACTGACGAGTGCATGTTGGTGGTGTACCCGACCATGCTCCAGTTGTTTGACACACAGTTGTTGTTGCTCCTGAAAGTTGATATCCTGTACTGCACGAGTATGTTCTGATCGCGAAAGCATTTCGACCACCAGCAGACACTGCGCCGTTTGTAGGAGACACTGGGTTGGCAGGACATTTTATCACTATTACACCAGAATCACAAATACACCAAACAAAACATCGACAGAAGAACATGCTAGAACAGGCAATGCTGACTTACTATGAACAACAAACAATCAAATATCATCTCATGATTTTTGAATAATTCACAAAGGGAGCACAGCTTAGCCACTCTTGAATTTCATAAGACACCTGAAGGGAAATGATGGGAAACCCCCTAACGCTTCATCTTCTTCTTCTTCCTCTAAAGCGGGATTCACAGAAGCTTTTTTGCGATGCGACACGCGATGCGACGCGATCTGCAATGGACGCGTGCGATGCGAACTCGCGAAATACAATTCACAGAAGAAGTCAGCGATACGACAAAGTCTAGCTGATTTGGGAACGTCACCATGATATTCACGCGGTTTGATACAACTTGTACAAATCTTGTACAAATAGGCAACTCTTGAACCTTTGTACAACTTTGCTGTAGAAAAGGTCAAAATCGTACGCCAAATCGCTTGTCGCATTGCATCGCAAAAGTTGAGCCAATCCAAGCTCAACTTCTGCGATGGCCTGCGATGGTCTAGTTGCGGCAGATGCGTGGGGTGCGACATGGCTGCAATTTGGGGTTTTCCCGGTGTCGCGTCTGTCGCATCGCGTGTCGCATCGAAAAAACGTCTGTGAATCCCGCTTTAGTCATGAATACAATGTCTGTATCCACACTTGTCTTTGGTTATGACTCTCTAATGACTGATTTCCTTTTTTAAATTAACTGGAATAATTGTATACGTACGCTTGCAAGTTGGTGGCGAAGTCGACCAAGTTCCAGTTGGAAGACAAACAGATGCACTGCTGCCGACTACTTTGTATCCAGTATTGCAGGTGAAAATAGTTGCACCATTAAACTCCAAAGACTCCAATCTTCAAATTTATGATACAGTAAAACTTGTAACTAAAGACCGCCCCTTGGGGCCAGAGAAAGTGGTATTTAGGGGCAGGTGGTCCTTAGTCAGAGGTTTGCACTGCACAGCCATATATGACTGTGAGACCGTCTGTGCCTGACGAAGTGGTCTGTATTACCAGGCTGGTCGCTAGTCACGGTGGTCTTTATTTACAGGTTCTATTGTACTTTGAGTTTTCTCAACCCAGTTTTCTGCATACCCATCAGTGGGATTTGTCATGTGGCCCAACTTCTGCGAAAACCAGGCTTAGGGTGAAAATAATTTTTTTGAGAAAATGATGTATTGTAAAAAGGTTGTGTCGCGTGGACGCTCGAGTGCAGTGAACTGGAACCAAAGAGAATCTCGCTTGTTTGAAGAAGTAGCAGTCATGGCAGGAAGGGTTTCAGCAGTCAGGGAAGTCAAAGGGCTTCCGGTAGAATATTCCCTGCTACTCCTCTAGTCACAACGAAGAGTTTTTGAGCTGATCGAACGGATTCCATCTCCTTCACTCAGGGATGGCGAAAATTTCTGCGCTAGCTGCTGCTTGCGGAAAATGGTGAAGAAATCGTCTCCAGTTAGAGTCGTGATGGCGATAGCGAGGAGAACCTGGACGGCATCGACCCAGCCGATCGAAGTATGGAGATAGTAGCTGTTTCTGGGCCTCACGCAAAGGGAACACGCGCAGCAGAGCTCATACGTTTGCAGCAAGTTCACGAGGAAAAAGGCTAGAAGCGCAGTGTGAAAACTGTTTTGAATTGAAGTCCTTGGCGATGAAGTGCTACTGAATGCCAGGCGAATGAGCGAGCAGATCGAGAGGCCTCCACTCGAGACTTTCCTCGCTGGACAGATAGCTGCAAGGGATTGTACGGCGTGCCGAGATTTCACTTGCTGGTCAGCACCAAGCAGACACTGCAGCACGCCTGCACACTATCACTATGCGCATACTACGAACAGTGGAACAGTTTGAAAGGCCGTGTTCTTGCTTGTTTTTGAATAGTTGTACTAGATTCACCCTTCAAAAGGTGCCATCTCAACTGGAGTCGGGTTTCCTTGTGGTGTGTAGTGCCAGAGCATGCCAGTACATGTATGCAGCCCCAGAATGTGCTGAGTGAGGAGCAAACAAAATTCATGCAGAACTGTGCATGGCCACTACAGCCTGCAGCACCAAGGCCAGGGGCCACAACAAGCCCTCCCCCACATGCCTACCTTGTCATGTCATCTAAACAAAAATCATCCATGTCTCTTCCTTCACTCTGGTGGATCTCTCTTCATTTCTTTCCTGTGATAACAATTTTGTTTTTTTTTGGATTTTTTAACACAATACCCTGGTGTGTTTGAGATACTTTTAATACCACTATGAGTCGACTCACACCTGTAATATTTTGTCTCCTGACCTCCTATGCCCAGTAGAAGCTGAAAATGGGAAAAAGTCATTTTGTGAAATTTCACCCTAAGCCTGGTTTTCGCAGATTCTGGGCCATGTTAGGTACGCTAACTACCTCTATTTGAACTAACAATGACAATCACATCCTTTCCCCGGTACTACAAGCCTCAAAGGGTTTAGTGATTTAGATTGCATACTGGAAGCACGCCTGCCTATACATGTAGATATTCAACAGCTCACAGAGTCCAACAGAATTACTACTGGGGCATAAAGCATCAACTTTAACCATATCAATGGAAACTCCTTGAAATAATCAGGAGAGACTTTACTTTTGTTGTTCTTACTCTATCCCAATAATATATCGCTTGGACCCTAACTGTGGTCGGACTCTGTCTCACCTAAACTCGATCATACCCATTTTGCTTCCATTTACCTGTCAAACTGTGAATCTTTAATTAACTCTTTCCATGCCAGCATGTTTTCCTGTGTTGGCCACGCATTGTTCAGGCGCTGAGCTCACCTGTTCAAAGCTGCACGCGCACCTCAGAACGATTTTTTTGCTATTTCACTGTACCTTGTTGGATTTTCACGATCCATGGCTTGTTGGAAATATTTGGACCACAGGAAGCCATTTCAGGGACTCACAGCGCGACAGGCATACCAGGGCCACTTCCATCTCCTCTCCAAGTCCCCCTTCCATTGCTGAGAATAACAAAACGACGGCCTCTCATGTTTTCTTTCATCTTCTTGCTCATTGTGGACTGATTTTCACAATTCAAACTGCGTTGGAAAGTCGAGATTCAAGCGACTTTTTTGAAGCTGACTATGCACTCGCTGTCTCTAGTTGAAATCCCGTAGCCCGCAGGGAGTCGCGAACAAAACATTTTGAATCGATCGCCAAAAAGTGAAATTTGGGCATTCTGGCCGTTCAATTTGTCGTCGCTCGGTCATGCCTTGTCGTATCGCAAAGAACGTTATATCCCTGGAAAGATGAGCCCAATACCTTTCCAGCGGTGTCTCAACCTTAGCAGTCTGAGATATTGTGACGGAGTTATGACGGTTTGTACACTCGTCTATAGCGCTTGATACACATGTACTGTATAGTGTGCATTGTACAGTGTCGTCCATGGCCAATCGGTTCGTACTAAAAAAACGCGTATACGCATCCATGGCATAGCAAGGGTTAATATGATTGTGAACATGCTCAGTACATATTAATGCTAAGAAGAAGAGGTAATAATATGAATTATACATGCACACCCTTACATTACATGACTTCAACAGATTATTTTCTATATTCCTACTTTATTTACAGACCTCCTGACTTCAGCACCACTCAACGTCTCATGCAACCTGGACATAAAGAAAAACAAGGTTATCACATAGTACTTACGAGTGCAAGTTGGTGGTGATCCAGACCATGTTCCAGTTGTTTGACACACAGTTGTTGTTGTGCCAGAAAGTTGATATCCGGTACTGCACGAGTATGTTCTGTTCGTGAAGGCATTTCGAGCACCACTAGACACGGCGCCATTTATAGGAGACACTGGGTTGGCAGGACATTGTATCACTATAACACCAGAATCACAAATACACCAAACAAAATATCAACAGAAAAACAATGCCAGAATTGGAAATACTGACTTACTATGAACCACAAACAGTCAAACTAACATCTAGTGACCTTAGAAGAATTTTAAAGGCAGCACAGCTTAGCCACACCTGGATCTCCTATGACACCTGACGGGAAGTGCAGGGAAACCAACCACCTGACGTCCCATCTTAATCTTCCTCTCCGTCTTCCTCTCAGCCATGAATACAATGCCTGTATCGACATTTCTTCGGCTCTGGCTCTCCAAGGGTCGATTTCTTATTTTCACCTAAATGATCGTATACTTATTTTCACCTAAATAATCGTATACTTACGCTGGCAAGTTGGTGGGGAAGTCGACCAAGTTCCAGTTGGAAGACAAACGGATGCACTGCTGCCGATTAAATTGTATCCGGAATTGCAGGTGAAAATAGTTGCACCATTAATCTCCAAAGACATGCTAGCAATAGCCCCATTAGAAGGTGCAACTTGACCACTACACACAACACCTGCACGGCACAGGAATCAGCAAACATTGCAACATCAGAATGGTCTTACTTCTAAGCCACAGCACAAAGTAGCTCAGTGGGTTGGGTCTCAGCCAGATTGATGCTCCACCAGTAGGGCCTGATGATCACTCAGACTCGATGACTGGTTTGCATGCAGCTGACACAATCCAGGCAGCTTGGTCTCCGCTCAACCTCACAGAGAACCCAAGCACCGTGCCTACGCAATAAACACGGCAGAAACAGCAGCACTTGACTTGCAATGCTACATGAAAACAGTGTGCAGTATAACCCTCGGGCTCATCCTTCCCGGCTCGTTTGCGTCCTTCGCAAACACTGGATAGTTCTAAAGCCAACGGACCTGAAAGCCAGAGCCAACAGGTGCTTTGTAAAACAACAGTCCTAATCATTCACTCTTCCTCAAGTCATTTTGCAATTTTTCCAACTCCAACATTCAAACAACCTGGACATAAGTGAAGACAATGTTATCACATAGTACTGACGAGTGCATGTTGGTGGTGTTCCAGACCACGTTCCAGTTGTTTGACACACAGTTGTTGTTGTGCCAGAAAGTTGATATCCCATACTGCACGAGTACGTTCTGTTCGTGAAGGCATCACGAGCACCACTTGACACGACGCCGTTTGTAGGAGACACTGGGTTGGGAGGACATTGTATCACTATAACACCAGAATCACAAATACACCAAAAAATACATCAACAGAAATACATGCCAGAACAGGAAATACTGACTTACTATGAACAACGAACAATCAAACTAACATCTAGTGACTTTAGAAGAATTCCAAAGGCCGGACAGCTTAGCCACACCTAGATCTCATAAGACACCTGACGGGAAGTGCAGGGAAACCACCTGACGTTTCATCTTATTCCTCTCTAATTCTTCCCCTTAGCCATGAATACAATGCCTGTATCGACATTTCTTCGGGTCTGGCTCTTTGAGGATTGATTTCTTATTTTAACTTGATTATTCGTATACGTACGCTGGCAAGTTGGTGGCGAAGTCGACCAAGTTCCAGTTGGAAGACAAACCGAAGCACTGCTGCCGACTACATTGTATCCAGTATTGCAGGTGAAAATAGTTGCAGCATTAATCTCCAAAGACATGCTAGCAATAGCTCCATTAGAAGGTGCAACTTGACCGCTACACACAACACCTGCAAAACACAGGAACCAGCAAACAATGAAGTCAGAATGGTCTCCTTTGGAAGCCGCAACACAAAAGCAGCTCAGTGGCTAAGGTGTCAGCCAGCTTGATACTCCACCCGTAGCCCATGATGATCACTCAGACACGATTACTGGTCTGAATGCAGCCGACCAACTCCAGACAACTCGGCCTCCACTCAACCTCACGGAGAGCCCCAGCAGCGTGCCAATGAAATAAAGATTGTATGTACAGCATTATACCTCACTCCATATACACCCACACTCATATACCAGATCTCCCATGAAGTTTATAAATTTCCATATACACTGTTCAATATACACCACTAAGGAGGTATATACACCACTGAGGAAAACCATCAGAAAAAACCTCACTGAGGAGCTTTCTTTCTCTAAAAAGGAGTGTATATAGCTTTCTCTCTAACGCTATATTCACTCCTTTTTAGGAAAAGAAAGCTATATTCACTCCTTTTTAGAGAAAGAAAGCTCCTCAGTGAGTTTCGACCAGTTATAAAAACCTCGGCTTCGCCTCGTTTTTATACTGGTTTTTATTTCTCGATATACACTCGGTCCCTTGTTATATTATATACGTACTTGACTTGCAATGCTGCATGTCCACAGTTTGCCGTATCACCCTCGGGCTCATCTTTCGTTGCTGATTTGCGTCCTACAGGAATGCTGGGGAGTTCTAAAGCCAACGGATCTTACAGGGAGAGCCAACAAGAACTTTGTATAACCGTGCTCCTGGGGTTAAGTGTTCATTGAGATAAGGGGCATGGAAATATTTGGCGTCTATGTACTTCTACAAAGAAGGACAAAGAAATGTTGCTCCATTATCTTTTCATTTACATTCCTTAACAAATGCCAAATCGATTTTGTTAAAAATGCACAAGCTCTGGGGTGGGGAGCAAACATCTTTCTATAAAAGTAATCCCAAGAAATCAATGCCAACAAATGAGGAAAAATCATCACATCTCTACGACTATATCTTAGGTAACAGTTTAAACTGCCTTTCTCAAAATCGAATATCGCCTGCACCCTAACCATGGTCGGATGCTGTCCTGCTTTATAATATGACTCGATTATAACCTCTGATTTTGCTTCCGTTTACCTACCAAACTGTCAATCCTTGATATGATTGTGAGCATGCTCTGAATATACTACATGTACTGCCAAGAAGATGTTGTATTTCTCGCCGGCCGAGCGCAGCGAGATAGGCGAGAAATGATTTCTCGCGAAATATTTTCAGTTGCAAATATGGCATCTGGTGTGTTCTTTGTTGTCGCTTCTTTTCCTGACTTCTTCAGTCAGTTTTGAGTCTCACCAGTGTTCCTGCCCTCCCACCCTTTATTTCTGTGCATATTATCAATGCTTTTGTCCCTGTTTGCCGTGATGTGCTTGCTATGCCTACATCAGTGATGCATAATCGCCATTGGGGATATACACCCGTTTTTTTCCCCTCACAAATGCGTCCGTCGGCGCGAGGGATTTTTCCCGGCTGGCTCGGTCCAGAAAAATTAATCTGACGGTCCCAAGTGGTTCTGCATCATTGCCTATTTCTGCTACCCAATGGCACGCCTATTCTATCTGACACACTCTGTTCTCAGTCCTTGCTTGCCTCCATACCTCACTCGTTATCTGGTTCACATCTGGCTGCGGCCAACTACCCTTCTGGCTGCGGCCAACTACCCTTCACTTTGTGTGTTGTCGCTATTGCTGTCTATGTCTCTGTGTATGCCAGTACATGTGGAGCGAGAAATGAATTAGACACGTACACCCTGACATCACACGACTTGTACAGATTATTTTCTCTATTCCTACTTCATTTACAGACCTCCTGACTTCAGCACCACTCAACTATTATATAAACCTGGACATAAATGAAAACAAGGTTGTCACATAGTACTGACGAGTGCATGTTGGTGGTGTTCCCGACCATGCTCCAGTTGTTTGACAGACAGTTGTTGTTGCTCCACTAAGTTGATATCCGGTACTGCACGAATATGTTCTGATCGCGAAAGCATTTCGACCAACAGCAGACACGGCGCCGTTTATAGGAGACACTGGGTTGGCAGGACATTGTATTGCTATAACACCAGAATCACAAATAGACCAAAAAAAGTAGAACAGAAAATCATGCTAGGAGGGAAATGCTGAATTTCTACGAAACATTAACAATTGAGCTAAAATTTATTGACCCTAGAAGAATTCCAAAGGCAGAACAGCTTAGCCACACTTGGATCTCATAACCCACCTTTCGGGAATTGCTCGGAAACCACCTGACATCTCAAGTTTTTCTTCGATTAGAAATGAATACAATGCTTGCATCCACGTCATTTCTTTGGCTCTGACTTTCTTATGACTGATGTCTTATTTTTGTACAGATTAACTTCAATAATCATAATACGTACGCTGGCAAGTTGGCTGTGAAGTCGACCAAGTTCCATTTGGAAGACAAACAGATGCACTGCTTCCAACTGGCAACTATTTCAGTGTGATATTCCACACAAAGAATTTTTTTAGAAAGAGGGACACATCGACAGTCTGTAAAATCACTTGCAACCTTCTGATGTCTGAAATACTGAAACGGTGTGAGTGAAGATATGGTAGAAGTCAACTATCTGTATACCACATGCTAGATACATACATCGATCGAAAGTCTTCTTTTCGGGAGGATTTCAGAATTTGCCACTGCCGATTTTTTCGGACTTCGAGTCCTAGCAGCCTTCATTGCGGTCTGCTTTTCTCAAAAGGTCCTCAAAGTAAGAAAGCGAAGATGGTTTTACCAGGTCATGGCCATGGCAACCATTCCATGGCCATGGCGTTTTTGTCATGCTAAGGGTTGATTTCATGGAAGCTCAAAGAAACTTTTTATATTTAATCTTATGAAGACACGGGAAGTATGCTGTGCTTAATTAACCATTGACAACATTTTCGACATGAAGAGCACGATAAGCGCAAACTTCGAGAAAAACAGATTTTCAGCTCCGTGTTCTTCAAAGGTCTACAGTCAGTTTCAAAAAGATTAGCAATCCAGGTGATCGCCCGGGGAGTTTGCCGTATTACCGTATGAGCGCTCAGCGCTGCCTGCAAAAACTCACTGTGAACTCGAAGAAATATTCCGCGCGAAAGCATGAAAAATGACAACTCACTCAGGTCGATGTCGGTACAGTCGTGTACGTCTGGTTCACAACAAACGAGCTCTTCCTCGTATCGATTATGGAGTCAGTGAGGACATGTCGAAAGTATAGTAAATGCCAAGGCTGATGAGCGACATGGGCCCCAATATGTTTTGTGACCAAATAGTTTCTTTGAGCTGCGATGCAATTTACTCTCACCATGTGACGAAAACGACATCGACAGAGACTCAGCACGCAGCGCAGAAAATTCGAAATGTTTGATCGCTCGCCGCTCACTCAAACTTCATCGGAGAGACTTCGGATCTTTTCGAGGCGATAGCTGAGTTTTCTCTACCATCTAGACCCTTCGATTGTTGAATTTGGTCAAGATTTGGCCGAGAACCGAAAGTTTGACTGCGCCCACAGGCATACAAAATGACCATGGTTCGAAATCGAACCATGGACTCCAAAGGGTTAAAGGGAGTGGAGGGGGTCCGAAATGAACGATGTTCGTTTCAGAGACGACAGAAAACTTTTGCGACGACCACTAAGGGGCTATCCGGCATTATCGATAATTTTCACGAAACGAAAAAGTTTAGTTAGGACCCTCCCCCACCCACCCACCCCCCTGAACGAAATATAGATTGACTTGATAGCAAGAATGCGGGGATGTCTCTCATATCAATATTTTTCAAAACGAAACTCCCCTTGACCCACCCACCCATATACGAAACTTTTTCTCTTCGTGTAAAAGATCGATAATTATGGACGGCCCCTAAGGCTGTGTTTACATGAGAAATTTCAACCCGGGTCGAGTTCAGCCCGGGTTGAAAGTCTGTACGACAAAAAAAAGAGATGAGCGTTTACATGAAGACAGTTGACCCGGGTCAAATACTGATATGCCGCCAAAAGTCCACTTCTACAGTCCTGTATGGTCACGTGAATCCGTTCGCGCGAAATTTGCATCTGCAGTGCTGTTCAAACCTGGCGCGAGATGCGCACAGAAGTACGTTTGTACGATTTTCTTGACCCGGGTTGATTTCAACCCGGGGCGAAATTTCAACCCGGGTCAAGCGCAATGCGTCATGTAAACGCGCCATTCACTTTGTGCACATGGCGGGTTGAAATCTGACCCGGGTCGAACTCAACCCGGGTTGAAACGCTTCATGTGAACACAGCCTAAGGGCGCGCTCACACTGCGACCATGAGCACGCGTCCATGCGTCAGCAAAACGCAGAAACGTGGCAGTCGTGCTCACACTAGGCCTCGTACACGCGTAGACGTGAAGTTGTCACACAAACTTTACGAATTGCAGTTCGTATCCAAAAGAGTTCGTGCGTTTCCTATTAAAGTTGTGGCCCGTTTTGGATGTAATTTTTCGCATGTTGCATGTTGGAGGAAGTGCCGCGTGGCTCGTATTCTTGAAGTCGACAAAAATAATTCATACAATCAAGTAGGTTTGGACTCTAGAGGGATTGCCGCTGACAGCCAAGCGCTTTCGCTTTCCTGACCTCGTGGTCAGAGCAAGTGCCAGTGCAGTGGAAATTCCGGTAGTGGTTTCTTTCGTCTGTTGCCGAGATGAGAATTGTATTTTCCGATGATATGTAACTGAAATGTCTTGAGGTATGGCATTCCATCAAAAGTAGAGAAAGATGATTTCCCAAAACCGAAAAGCCAGACCAAGCTGCCATCGTATTGAACGAGTACACTGTAGAAATTGGTCACTGACCCGATCAACTGTCAACGCTCGACGAAGCAACTACAAAAACAAAAACAAAATTGACATCGTCCAAAAAGGGCAAAGAATGCATATATGGCGGTGCGTGCGTGCAAGACCACAACTACAAAATTTTTAAATGTGTAAATGTCGAGGA